GGACCGCCAGGGCCTCCCTTGGCCGCCACCCGATCCACAATGCACCGAACCCCTGACATTCCCCTTGCGGGTGGTTGTTCTCCATATTCTCTAAATGCCTTTATGAAATTGGACCCATTGTCTGTGGTGGTTCTAACAATTTTTTTCTCTATGCCAAATTCGCAATGGATGTCATTCAATGCACTGCCCAACACATCAAAAGTGTGTGGCCCTTTAATCCGCCGGCAAGCAAGTGCCACAGAGCACCTCTTCAATGAATCTGGATCCACCCAGTGGGCAGTGACTCCGAGAAATCCTCTCCTTCTTGCACTCCAACAGTCAGTTGTTGTGGCAATGAATTCAATGGAGGACATTGCTTGTTTAATATTTCTCTTCATTTCTTGGGCACCCTCTTCTACTTTCCAGCGCAATGTAGTTCTGGACATCACACGTGAATTAGGCTGTAGCTCTTGCACTAAAGCATTAAACGCAGGCTGTTCTAGCACAGTAAATGGTTGAAGACTCTGAATTACAAAATTTATGACTAACCCTGCTGTAGGACATGCACGGAAAACCTCTCTGGGTAGCCGCCCAGGAGGCCATCCGCACCAGGTGTCCAAATCACCTCAACTGCCTCCTTTCGATGTAAAGAAGCAGCAGTACTACTCTGAGGCCCTCCCGGATATCCGAACTTCTCACCCTATCCCTAAGGGAGAGCCCAGACACCCTGCGGAGAAACCTCATTTCGGCCACCTGTATTCGCGATCTCATTCTTTCGGTCATTACCCATAGCTCATGACCATAGGTGAGGGTAGGGACAAAGATGGACCAATAGATCAAGAGCTTTGCTTTTTGGCTCAGTTCTTTCTTAGCCACGACGAACCGGTTAAGCGCCTGCAAAACTGTAGATGCCGCTCTGATTTGTCTGTCCAGCTCCCGATCTCGCCTACCCTCACTCCTGAACAAGACCCCGAGATACTTGAACTCCTCCACTTGAGGCAGTACGTCTTCCCTGACCTGAAGAGGGCAATCCACCCATTTCCGGCTGAGAACCATAGTCTTGGACTTGGAGGTGCTAATCCTAAACCCCAGAGCACACTGGAGATCCCCAGCAGATGAAGCCAAGAGGACGACATCGTCTGCAAAAAGCAGCGAGGCAATCCTGAGGCCACCAAACTGGACACCCTCAACACCCTGGCTGCACCTAGAAATCCTGTCCATAAATATTAGAAACAGGACCAATGACAAAGGGCAGCCCTGGCGGAACCCAAACCACACTGGGAACACGTCCGACTTATTACCGGTAATGCGGACCAAGCTTCTGCTCCATTCATATAGGGACCGAACTGCCCACAATAGTGGACCCTGTACCCCATACTCCCAAAGCACCCCCCACAGAGCATCTCGGGGAACCCGGTCATAAGCCTTTTCCAAATCCACAAAACACATGTAGACTGGATAGGCAAACTCCCAGGCCCCCTCCAGTACCCTTGCAAGGGTTTAAAGCTGGTCTAGTGTTCCACGGCCAGGACAAAAACCGCATTGTTCCTCCTCTCCAGTACCCCGGAATAGACTTTCCCGGGAAGGCTGAGAAGTGTGATCCCCCTGTAGTTGAAACACACCCTCCCGTCCCCCTTAGGGGACGAACACCCCGGTTTGCCAATCCAGCAGCACTGTCCCTGACCCCCACGCACTGTTGAGAAGGTGTGTCAGCCACGACAGCCCCACAACATCCAGAGCCTTCAGGTACTCCGGGCGGATCTCGTCCACCGCCGGGGCCCAGCCACCACGTAGCTCTTTAACCACCCTGGCCACCTCAGCCCCAGTGATGGCCCCCCCCCAGCACCATTGGGCTCTGTGCCCTCAGATGTCTCAAAGGCAGTGTGCGTAGATGTATCTAAGGCAGGGTTGAGGAGGTCCTCAAAGTATTCCTTCCACCTCCGGGTGATGTCCCCAGGTGAGGTCAACAGCACCCCCTCCCCACTATAAATAGTAGGAACCAGGAGCTGCTTTCCCCTCTTGATATTCCGGATGGTTTGCCAGAACCTTTTTGAGGCCGACCGAAAGTCACTTTCCATGGCCTCACCAAACTCCTCCCATGCCTGGGTTTTTGCTTCTGCGACCGCCCGAGCTGCGTTCCGCCTAGCCTGCCGGTACCCTTCAGCTGCCTCTGGAGACCGGTACCCATCAGCTGCCTCTGGAGACCCCCGGGCTAATAATTCCCTGTAAGCCTCCTTCTTCAGCTTGACAGCCCCCCTCACCTCTGGTGTCCACCATTGGGTACGGGGGTTACCGCCATGACTGGCACCGACCACCCTGCAGCCACAGCTCTATACGGCCGCTTCCACAATGGAGGTCTGGAACAGTGTCCATTCAGACTCAGTGTCCCCAACCTCCCCCGGTATGCAGTTGGAATTCTGCCGGAGGTGCGAGTTAAAGCTCCTCTGCCAGACGTTCCCAGCAGACCCTCACTATGCGCTTAGGCCTACCAGGTCTGACCGGCTTCCTCCCCCGCCACCTGAGCCAACTCACCACCAGGTGGTGATCAGTTGACAGCTCTGCCCCTCTCTTTACCCGAGTGTCCAAGACGGAAGGCCGCAGATCAGATGATACGATTATGAAATCGATCATCGACCTGTAGCCCCGGGCATGTTCGTACCATGTCCACTTATGGACACCCTTATGCTTGAACATGGTGTTTGTTATGGACAAACCATTTATTGCACAGAAGTCCAATAACAGAACACCACTCGGGTTCAGATCAGGGAGGCCGTTCCTCCCAATCACCCCTTCCAGGTCACACTGTCATTGCCCACGTGAGCGTTGAAGTCCCCCAGCAAAACGATGGATTCCCCTCGTGGCACACCAACCAGCATAGCACTAGGGAATCCAAGAAGGCCGGGTACTCTGAACCGTATAAGTGCAAATGACAATCAGAGACCTATCCCCGACCCGAAGGCGCAGGGAGACAGACCTCTTGTTAACCGGGGTAAACTCCATTGTTAATGCACCGAGCTGTGGGGCCACCAGTAGCCCCAGCCCGGCGTCGCTCACCCGCCGCAACTCCAGAAGGAAAGATCGTCCAGCCCCTCTCCAGGAGATTGGTTCCAGAACCCAAGCTATGCGTTGAGGTGAGCCGACTATATCTAGTCGAAATTTCTCAATCTCATGCACAAGCTCAGGCTCCTTCCCCACCAGAGAGGTGACATTCTACGTACCGAAAGCCAGTTTTGTCAGCCGGGGATTGGACCGCCAGGGCCTCCCTTGGCCGCCACCCGATCTACAAAACACCGAACCCCTGACATTCCCCTTGCGGTTGGTGGGCCCACCTGGGGACAGTCCCGCGTGCCTCTTTCGTGCTATGCCCGGCCGGGCCCCACAGGCCAAGGCCCGGCCACCAGGCACTCGCCAACGGGCCCCTCCCCCAGGCCTGGCTCCAGGGTGGGACCCTAGTCCGGGCGAGGGAAACGGGACTTCGTTAGAATACCTTATCATAAGGTTCTTTTGGATTGCTCTTTGTCTGGCCCCTTCCCTGGGACCTTTTTGCCTTGGGAGACCCTACCAGGGGCTATTGCCCCCGACAACATAGCCCCCAGGGTCACTGAGGCACACAAACCCCTCCACCACGATAAGGTGGCAATCCAAGGAGGGGATTGTTAGTATAGTGCAAGTTAAAACTTTGGGTACCTTTAAATGTGAGCTAGATAAGATTTGAACAACATTAAGCTATTAGTTGAATTATTCCCAAACAAACTTGATGGGCTGAATGGCCTCCTCTCATTTGTAAATTTCTTATGTTCTAATGTTCTGACCTTGGTTAGCTTGTGGGACACTGAAGGCAGCCCCCCTCAAAGGTACAGATGGAGTGCATCTTTGGCAGTTGCGGAAGCAAAAACTTGAATGTGGAAGGCAATGAAAAATGAGTTTCGGTTGGCCTCAAAGTGATTCCGACAAACTCAGGCAACTCAGGAGGAACAATGTGGATTTCATCCTGGTCATGGAACAATGGACCAGCTCTTTACCATCACAAGGGGTACTGGAGGATTCATAGGAATTTGCCTAACCAGTCTTTTGTGGAATTGGAAAAGGCATATGACCGTGTCCCTCAGGGTTTCCTGTAGGGGGTGCTTCAGGAGTATGGGGTACTGGGCTCGCTGTTATGGGGCATTAGGTGTATATATACATTATATTGCCAAAAATATTGGGACACCTCTCCAAATCATTGAACTCAGGTATTCCTAGTCACTTCATTAGCAGTGTATAAAATATAGCACTGCAGACCGCTTCTATAAACATTTGCAAAAGAATGGGTTTAGCTCAAAAACAGTGCTTAGAGAACTTCATGGAATGGGTTTCCATGGCCAGGGAGCTGCATCCAAGCCTGACATCACCAAGTGAGATGCAAAGCATCGGATGCAGTGGTATAATGCATGCCACCACTGGACTCTAGAGCAGTGGAGACATGTTCTCTGGAATTATGAATCACACTTCTCTGTCTGGCAATCCAATGGATGAGTCTGGTTTTACCGGTTGCCAGGAGAACAGTACTTGCCTGACTGCATTGTGCCAAGTGTAAAGTTTGGTGGAGGGGGGATTATGGTGTGGGGTTGTTTTTCAGGGGTTCGGCTTGGCCCCTTAGTTCCAGTGAAACGAACTCTTAATGCTGCAGCATTCAAAGCCATTTTTGACAATTTCATGCTCCCAACTTTGTGGGAACAGTTTGGGGATGGCCCCTTCCTGTTCTGACATGACAGTGCACAAAAGAAGGTATATTATGACATGGATGAGCGAGTCTTGTGTAGAGGAACTTGACTGGAGCCCTGACCTCAACCCGATTGAACACTTTTGGGATGAATTAGAGTGGAGACTGTGAGCCAGGCCTTCTCAACCAACATCAGTGTCTGACCTCACAAATCCTCTCCTGGAAAAATGGTCAAAAATTCCCATAAACACAGTCCTAAACCTTGAGGACAGCCTTCCCAGAAAAATTGAAGCTGATATAGCTGCAAAGGGTGGGCCAACAACATATTAAAGCCTATGTACTAAGAATGGGATGTCATTAGAGTTCATGTGCGTGTAAAGGCAGATGTGCCAATATGGTGTAACAGGAGCGAGAGTTTAGTACACCAGAAGTAAGTCAGACTTGTTCCTGGTGGGTGTTGGATGCCGTCAGGGCTGCCCTTTGTTCACCGATTCTATTCATAACTTTATGGACAGAATTTCTAGGTGCAGCTGAGGGGCAGAGGGCATGCAGTTTGTTCATCTCAGGATTGCTTCATTGCTCTTTGCAGATGATGGGCATGTTGGAATGGTGAACGTTGGAACCTGAGAAAATTTTGGTCAAGTCGCTGCATAGTGATATCAAAGAGAAGGGTAGCCTCAGACACGTGATCTTGTCAGCATGATAACTGACAAGATCCCCATCTTTTTAGGCTTTGCAGACACGTTTTATGAGTCAATATTTGAACCTCTTAAAATTTTGAGACAAATTGCAGCAAAACTGAAGCAACAGGTATCTTAGATATGATACTTGTGAACAGCATAACTCTTTGATATTATTACACTATTTACTGTTTGATCTTTGGTGAATCTTATTACCACTTCACAAAAATATATGCATGAAAATGACACCTAAGAAACTGTAACTACAGGCAGAGCTGTGGGCAAAAATGGAGGCTTGAGGCCACCATCTTATGAACACATAAATCTGCCGTCAACATATTCTGTCGATCTTTCTGCAAACTTCCCAGGAACATTGTGCAGGTCAGTGATTCTCAAACTTAGGGGTGTAAGATGAATAATTTATTATGCAGAAAAATTACAATGGGGGAATTTAATTATGCATATGTATATTTATTAGGGGTGGGAATCTCTAGCACCTCATTATTCGATTCGATTATGATTCATAGGGCTACAATGGGATGATAAAATGCTTATCTTGCATCTTGATTAATCTTTTTTTTCTATCCAGGATTTCTTTTTTCCTCACTGTGTGACTACTTGGAACTTTCAAAGCAAAGTATTTATAATGATCCATAATGAATTTACTTGTAATGTCTTTTATTGATAAAACAAAGGGAAGAGGTGTGGCAAGTCAACTGGATGGTTGACTTCCATTTTGCCAGCATATATTCAATTTAATTAATTTTTATAAAGTGCCTTTCACAAGTCATCCCAAGGCACTTTACATGGATGTGTTGTGATACATTAAGCATCGTTAGAGAGTGTAATACAAAATGGGGAAAAGGAAGGAAATAAATTAAATGAAGAAAGTCAGATGACAACGGAGGAGAGGAACCAAAAAATCACAAATAAGGAGAAAAAAAACCTATGGGAGCCCAAGGTCAATTTGGCTGCACATCCCCCCTGGGCTTACTAACATTACTGAAAACAGAAATGAGTGGACATGCTTGCTAAAAGCTAGGTATAAGCTGTGATAAAGGATCAAGACAAAGTCTATCAATGAGTCCGTTATCCACGTTGGCCTGTGTAGAGTGGCTATATATCCCAGCATTGCAAAAATCCAGCAGGAAAAGTGTGCCTGTAGCACCATATACAGCGCCAATAATTGTGGAGGGTGCTGTACTTGTAGTAAAGGAATACTTTCATGCAAAAATAATGCTTGTGGACTTCAGTATATTCTTAATCACTATAAAAAATAAGACTTCTAACCAACATCCTCCTGTTATGTGCAATGAGCAATATAATCCTTCAGACCAAAAAAACTCAAAACATTCTATTGTACCAAAATCACTAACAGCTTTCATACAAAAATATAGAGTTCTGAACCAGCAGCTCTTCTACAAAAATAATGCTTGTGGACTTCAGTATAGGGGACTTCAGCAACTCATCGGTGATAAAATGTGCAGTTACGGTGACATAAGATTCTGTGCCAATCGATGTCCAGGCATCATATGTTGCGGCTATCCTACCCACTTTCTTCAGTGATTCCATGACTTCGGTTTTGGTCTCATTGTAGAGTGTCAGTAAAATATCTTCGAGATGGGACGTTGTATCTTGGCTCCAAAGTGCTGGTTCTCAAAGCGTGAAAGTCGTGGTCGTCAATGACTGAATACAGACACAAATGCTTGGCAGTAAAAGTTGCGACAGTTTGGAATTCGTTTCGCCCTTTCCAATTTGGGTGGAGGCTTTGCCATCACTTGCACGATGGTCCTCTAGTTGGCAGCAAATACAACCGGGTGTTTTTCTTCCTCCTCCAGATGGAAATGTGTAGTTTGACACAACTTGCATGCAGTTTGGCTCTTTTCTAGGTTCCTTTTTCCTTCAACTTCATAGAAGCCAAAGTGCTTTCATACTCTAATGCAGAGGGTGCCGGGCAGATTTCCATGCGATTTACCATGTTTAGTCCTTCAGACTTTACACTGTAGGCAAGACAAACTCATTTGTTCTGCAATATTCCTTGTTGGTTTTTGGACAGTGGAGCAGAGAGTTAAAAATTCTTGGATTTGTTATTACTGTTCTTGTTCATTGTAGCTAATCCTTTGTATTTGCTGTAGGTTCTTTTTTTACATATTATGTGATCACCCTATACTGAAAATTAAAATGCTGCATCCTTTTTTGAACCAAATGGGATGTGGTCTCATATATTTGGAATGTGCAATTTAATAAAGCTTTTTGCTAATTTAACAACTTTTTAACAACTTGTTTGTATGCTAGTGTTTAGTTTTCACAAGTTTGGGATCTGGTTCATTTTACCACTTTTATGTATACCCCACTGTGCCTGTGGAGGAGTTGCTTAGTTATACCTACAAAGCCCTGGAGGGGCCACAGACAGTTTTGTGTGTTTATTTGTTTGTATTGGTTTTATTTATTTGATTTCATTCTGGGCCATATCAACCATGACTGCATATGTTACAGTTATGGAAAATGTAGGTTATGTCACAAATGAGAAATAAAAAGAATCTAAATATTTAGATATATAAAGTATATAAATAATATAAATTAAATGTAAAAATATGGACACCAAGATGGCATATAAGTGGAATTGTTCAATAAATGAATAGATGTAGTTTCAGAGTTATGTGTGAAGACTAAGAGTCACAGCATTCATGTAGAAACATTTCCAGTCGATTAATTTAGTAATTCTAGAATTTATAGAAGTTGGGGGGTGGTAGTAGTAAAGCTTAGACTGGGGAAGTAGAGAATACATTTCTGTTGTTTTGACAGCATCCTTTCTAGTTTCTGCTTCTCATATAATGGTTGCAGTTGACATTTCTTAATTTGTTTTTTCCATGCCTTTTCCCACCAGGATCTTTGGAAAATCAGCTGTCTCGTCATGATGACTTGCTCAGTGTACATGAGATTCGCCTGGCTGACATGGATTTACGGTTCCAGGTGCTGGAAACAGCCAGCTACAATGGTACACTTATATGGAAAATCAGGGACTATAAGCGGCGGAAGCAGGAAGCTGTAGCATCCAAGACACTCTCCCTCTACAGCCAGCCATTTTATACTGGCTACTTTGGTTACAAAATGTGCGCTAGGGTATATCTCAATGGTGATGGCATGGGCAAGGGCACACACTTATCGCTTTTCTTTGTGGTGATGCGTGGAGAATATGATGCCCTGCTTCCTTGGCCGTTCAAACAGAAAGTGACACTTATGTTAATGGACCAAGGACCAGCTCGAAAACACCTTGGTGATGCCTTTAAGCCAGACCCAAACAGCAGCAGTTTCCGGCGACCAGTAGCTGAGATGAATATTGCATCAGGATGCCCTCTCTTTGTTGCCCAGACCGTTCTTGAGAATGGCACATACATCAAGGAGGACACCATTTTCATTAAGGTCACAGTAGACACCTCAGACCTTCCTGACCCATGATGTTACTCCATCAAATGGGTGCAGTTAGTATAACGCTGTCAGAGTGAAGACTGCATATGAAAATGAAGTGTGAACATGGACTCTAAAATGGCTAGGGTAGGAGCAAGCCTGTTGGTAGCTTCTGAAGTGTCAGTACTTTGTATTTGGATGAATTGCATCCATTACAAATGGAAGAGCAGTTCATTAAAAGGGATTGACATAACTGGTACACAAGTACGCATTCACCTTTTAAAGTGATACGTGCGGCAATCGATTGTTATAACAGCGTATTTTATGTGCATTTGCGCCGATATGGCAAGAAATTATAATGCATTTTAACCTTTATATGCTAATTTGTATTTCATTTACAGTATTGAGGTTAAAATACACAGTAATTTCTCGTCATATATGTGCAAATGCACATAAAATACATGCTGTTCCATTAATCGAGTGCCGCACTTATCACTTTTAAAGGTCAATGCGTACTTGTGTACCAGTTATGCTAACCCCTGTTTATTAACATCATTGGATGTTTGGAAGGTGAATGTGAGCTGATCTGTAACAAAGAATTGAATGTTTCGGGTTTATTTCTGAGAACGACTCTTTATGCAGATTGTTGGGTGCTTGTAAATGGAACATGACCCTGCCCTGAAATTTTGCTAGATATGAAAATCACAAACACAATTCCATATGTGAATATCAGATGTGGAGTATCTTCATACCTCAAAGGATAAATGGGAGATTGATTTTATTTGCAAATTACGCAGTTTAAAATGTTAATAAACACATTGGTGTACGTATTAGTTTAAATAGTGTAATTTGCATATATTTTATTTTATAGCAGATTCAACATTTTTCATCCAGTTAATGGTAGTGTAATTTTGTGACCAATAAACTGCTATATTCTGTTTTCTACTTGATGGTAATGAAATATTGCATAACATTAAAAAACAATAGATGCTGTGCATCTATTTTATTACACAATTTACTCCAGAGGATGTTTTCAGCACTTTTCAAATGTATTACACAAAATAAAAATTCAGCAACATTTTTATTTAAATGATTTCTTATGTGGCTTTTTTGTATTTACTACAGCTATTATATTTTGAAATATAGCACCTTTGAAATTTTAATCAGTGGCTGGCATTTCAATAAACCACTTCACACTGCTGTATTTCCTAAAAACTTTTAAATAATTTCTATAAATAGAAATTTCTATAAAAGTCTGTTCTCTTTGTTAACTTTGAAAATGCCAATATGTAATACAATTTCATTTTTGACTACAGCTTGAAAGATGTTTCTAGAGTAAAATGGATGCATAAAGTACAAATACAAACCTGTATTATTTCTATGGGGCTCATATGAAAAAAAGTCAAAGCTAGAAACAACTGTATTCTCCGGATGAGGAATACATATAGATTTGGGACTGGTCCACCACTGTCATAGACACTTTCTTGTTAAAACAATAACTCAAAAAGTTTTTTATGAATCTTTTTCAAACTTTGTGGAGGCATTGTATGGGTCATGACCTGGAAGTGATTGAATTTTGAGACGCATCGCCCAAAAACTGAAGCAGCGCTTCATAGTGGCATCAAAGGGAAGGGTGAAAGCAGAAGACATTTAACTGTGATTTTGATAAGTAAAAAGTATTATATAAATCTTACTAATGTCTCACAAAAATATTATTTGGTTGAGCCCCACACCTGGTTTCATTTAGAGACAAATTTCCCCAGTTGTGCAGCAGCAGCACTCTGTGGCAGCAAAAGAAGGAAAAGACAACTGTAGAAGACAATTAGTCTTGGGAAGTCAGTAACTCTAAAAGTATTTTACAGATCGTTAGGAGGCAAGGGGTGCAGAGCTAATTTGGTCCCTACCAATGTTGATACCAAACCTACGCCTTTGAGTCCAACTACGTAAGACTTTAAGACTACAGAAAGGAATAAGACTGAGAGTGCAGCCCTCAGTAATATGTAAGGTATTAATTGATTAATCCCTTGGGAAAAATCTAGTGTGGCCAGTATTCTCCTGTGCTGCACAACAGAGTTTGGGGGAGGGGTTGGGTAAATCTGTCCTGCCAATCAAGTCTCCCAGTTGATGAGTTCCATGCAATTTTTGCACAATGTGGTTATCAGAAGGTTAGAAAGCCCTATAATTAGTTCATAAGGATATTGTTTCTGGCACTGGCTGTTTGTAATGCAAAATAATAAAGAGAAATATATTGCTCAAGAATCAAGAGAGAAAATCTAAATACTGATTCTGAAAAAAAAATTTGATTCATATTTTTCCCCAAATCATGCAGCCTTACACTCAGGTGATTTGCTTGTCAAAAGTAGTATTTTTTAACTGGGTGAATATCAATCTTGTGCAGAATGTATCAGACAAAAATTTTGGCGATATGGGCAAAATGTTATCACTCTAAAAAAATTCACATTGATTGATATCGATTATCACGATAAATGTCAAATCATTACAGTGGTACCTCGGTTCTCGAACTTAATCTGTTCCGGACTCCGGATCGAATCCTAAAAAGTTCGAGTTCTGATCGAATTCTAGAACAAATAATGGAAAACCAGTTAATTAATTCCCGGCCCCCCAAAATTACACTGAAAAAGTTATTATTATTTTTTTAGCATTTAAACACAAAATGAACAGGATAAAACAAGAAGAGCATTTTTTT